GTTTTGTCTTTCTCTATTTCTTGCCTAGATTATAAAAGTCTCAAAACCAGATTTTCTCAACCATACTTTTTAAGAGTGGAGGGTCCCGAGAGAGAGAAAGGTCCCAACTGTAACCCAGGCTGGTCTGGAATTCATATCCTCTTTCCTCCACTTCTTGAGTTCTGGGATTGCAGGCATGCTCCATCCTTCCTAGCCTCTCACCCATGTTTTGATTAAGCCATCTTTAATCTGGGTTCATCCTATCATTCAAGGCATCTGTGCTGGTATTTTCTTTCTCTATACTTCCTTGAAACAAAACTACTTGCTGTGTTCTACATGCTCCTTAAGCTCTCTCATATCTAATCCATGGTTCATGATCCCTCCCCAACCACCCACACCTTGGACATATTCAGCTCTACACATCTGTGTATCCAAATTTTTCAATTCCCACACTTTGCCTTATGGTACCAAACACTTTTATGTCATAAAACCAACCTCCCAGTTAGCAGTAAACTCCTGGAGGATGGGAGCACTGTCTTTCTGTAGCCACAGGATACGTCAGAATGTGAGGCATTTCACGCTGATTTCTTGAAGCCAGTGTGTCTAGTTTGCCTGAATTAGTTGTACAGGCTCATTAAAAAGAATTACTGTCCAGATACAGCAGAGCAAGGACTTCATACATACGATGTCTGGTAATATTTATGTGAGAAATCGTAAAGAATAAGTCCAGCCAGGTGATGGTGGTGCACAGCACTAGGGAGGCAGCAGCAGGCAGATCTCTTAAGTTCAAGATCAACCTGATCTACAGAGTGTGTTCCAGGACAGCCAGGGATACACAGAGAAACCCTGCCTCAAAAAACAAAACACAAAAGAGTGAGTCCAATATAACTTCTTTCTTTCTTTTGGGGGGCTTTTTGTTTTCCTTTTTTTGAGACAGGGTTTCTCTGTGTAGCTTTGGAGCCTATCCTGGCACTTGCTCTGTAGACCAGGCTGGCCTCAAACTCACAGAGAGATAAACCTGCCTCTGCCTTCCAAGTGCTGGGATTAAAGGCAAGCACCACCAACACCCAGCTAGAACTTCTTTGTTTAAATGTTACTTATTCATTTTTCTGTGTGGGGGTATTTTGCCTTCACATATGTATGAGTACCATGTGTGTGCCTGGTGTCCACTGAGGCCAGAAGAGGGTGTCAGATCCCTGGAAGTAGAGTTACAGATAATTGTGAGCTGTAAACCCTAGTCTTCTGGAAAAGCAACCCAAGTCCCTAACTGTCCTTAAGTCATGTCTCCAGTCCCAACTTTGTTTTTAATAACTGTAAAAATAGTCCCTGTAAATATTGTTTTTAGGTGACCTCCAGAATGTAATCAAATTATCAGTTACTGTCTGAGTCAACTAATAGGCTTGATTTCCTCTAAATCCCAGAACAATGTTAAATCTAATAATAGAATCTCAAAAGGAGTACTAATTGAAAATAACATTATTGTGCCTTCTTATATAAATTAAAGAATGACTGTTGACTGCCGTTGTCTTCCCCACCCATGCCATAGCTAGCAGTTTCACTGAATGTGTGGAAGGGGAGTCATGCTGACACCTACAAGTAGGAACAAGATGGTATAGTACATGCTTAATTACAAGGGTTTTGGAAATCAAACCTAGCCCAAGATATTCAGCCTGTGAAATATTTATGGATGACAATAATATGTCTTTTAGAATTTGCATCAATGTAGTCAGGGTAGAGAGCAGGAAGTATATGGGAATAGAGATGAAACTGGATTAGTTCTAAAGATAAGTAAAATAGTTCATGGTAGTTCTTTATACATACTCACTGTTCATTCTACTCTGTATGTGAATTTCCCATAATTAAAATTTAATAACAAAAACACAATTAAATGACAAGGATGTTGCTAGAACCAAACTATGTCATTCCAATCTTCTGGCTCTTCACTATGCCATGCTTCCACCACAAAGAAGCTAAATCCAAGATTTACCTTCTAGTAAGTGGGGTGTATTGAAAATCTAGCTTTGGAAACAGTAAAAAGTATTTTTATTATTGTGGCCCATGAGGTAACCAGAAAAACAAGATACAAGATAATATTGGAAAAATAGTACTCTAGGCTAGAACCCGGCTAGCTATTGAAGAATTTAAAAGTATCTTGAGGAATTTGGGGTTGTTCTTTAGAGTTTATTCAAATGAGGTATAGTGCAATATTTTAGTATAGACGTGAAAGAGTAAAAGCAGAATAAATTACATCTTCAAGAAGGTAAACCAAGTTGTTGCTAAGTTTACAAGGGTATAGATTGTGAAAGAGTAAAAGCAGGATGAATTATATCTTCAAGAAGGTAAACCAAGTTGTTGCTAAGTTTACAAGGGTATAGATGGAGAATGATAGGTTGGGCAGAAATTCAGTTTGAAAAAATTCTGAGGACCAACATGGTAGCAAATGTCAATTCACAGTGTGTGGCCATAAACATTAGAGGATCATATAACCATTGTAAGCATGATTAATTATCTTTGTTAATATTGGAGTATTGTGAAATTTTACTGTCTTTTCCTTTTCCAGATTTTGAAATTGGAAATAGTATTAAGGAGGACCCAACACAGGTAATATTTAAGGACAAAGAGCCCCATGGGGCATTAATAGAAAAGTCTAAAAGATTTGTTTCACAGAATACCAACCCCAGTAAATATTATAAAAGGGAATGCATCTCAGGAAGACAATGGGAAAACCTTCAAGGAATTAGACAGGGAAAACTGATGTCTCAACCTAGAGATATGGGGAAGGCCACAGTGCATCAGAGGCCTTTCATGGGGAGGAAACCATACAGACTTCTCAAATATGGAGAAAACTTTGGAAGGAGTACCCGTCTTATGTGCAGGGTGACCCACCAGAAAGAGAACCCTTACAAGTGTGGTGTCTGTGGGAAGTGCTTTGGTAGAAGCAGGAGCCTAATCAGACACCAAAGAATCCACACAGGGGAAAAGCCTTTCAAATGTCCTGATTGTGGGAAAAGCTTTAATGACTCCTCAAATTTTGGAGCCCACCAGAGAATCCACACTGGAGAGAAGCCGTATAGATGCGGGGAGTGTGGAAAATGCTTCAGTCAGAGCTCAAGCCTTATCATCCATCAGAGAACCCACACTGGTGAGAAGCCCTATCAGTGTGGAGAGTGTGGGAAAAGCTTCACCAACAGTTCTCACTTCAGTGCCCACCGCAGAGTCCATACTGGAGAGAATCCCTACAAATGTGGGGACTGTGAAAAGAGCTTCTATAACTGTGCAAGACTTCGAGAACACCAGCGAATCCACACTGGAGAGAAACCCTACACATGTGCCCAGTGTGGCAAACATTTCAGTAAAATCTCTTTCCTCACCAAACACCGGGAAGTCCACATGAGAGAAAAGCTACTGCCATACTCTCCCTCTGGGTACTCACCAGAAAATCTACTAAGAGGGAAGAGTGATGAGTTCAGGAAGGCCTTTTGACAATGAGCTTCTTGTACCGCATGCCCCGTTAGCCATCCTATCCTACTCCCACTCTTGGAAGCAATCTTTTCTTAGCTATAAATTGCAGTTCCCAATACAGGCCTGAGAATATAAATAAGCTAGATCTTTTCATCTGTTCTCACCTCATGTTCTAACATGCTAGGTCTGCCTCTCTCCTGTGAGTAAAGTGAGATAATAAGTTTTTTTTTGAGTTCAGAATAAAATTCTCATTAGAATGTTGAGGCTAAAGCTGTTGTCCAGAAACTTTCAAAATTCTTGCACATGGTGAGAGTTCTTTTCAAATATATGAATGGTGAAAGTTTTATAATGTTATCACCCATATGAGACCTTGGCAACAACTTGACAATGGATTTTTATATCTGGGTAGAACTTAGAGGTTTGACCAGAACTATATAAGATCTATCTTTGTTTTGAGGGTATAAAATGAGAGTAAAAGTTTTATAGTTTTCTTCAGAAGTCTTTATCAAAGAGTTAACCCTAATTCCCTGTGTTGCTACTGAAGTCGTGTTGCTAATACATTATCCTCTACCAAGAGAAGCACTTACTCACCCTTCATCTCCCTTTCTGTTCCTGAAGACTTAACTCCAGTGACTGCTGCTTCTCCAGGGACAAATGATTCTTCTGGTGTTCCTCACAAGTCTATACTTACCTCTTAATTGTTTTAGGTGCTGTAGTCTATTTTTTCTAGACTTCCTTAACCCACTCAGATGGGAGAAGATGCATATTAGTGCTGTCTCATTAAGAAAAAATCAGATTTCAAAGTCTAGTTCTACCCAATCACTTCTCTGACTCTTAACCTAAAGCAAGACCTACTGATATGTTGGCATATTCCGAACTGCCTAGCTCTACATGTCAATGTAATATAATAGTATTCTAAAAGTTTAAGATTGTAAGGAAGAAGGATATGAGACCTTAAATATTTAGTGGACTCTTTAGGCCTGCTTTAGATCAAAGAGCTACCTCAGTCCAGACTACATTTCCAGGGTTGACTGTTACACATACTAGCCTCTGGTTCTGAAGCTTCTAGTTCCTGTTTGCAGGATCATAAACCTGACTATAGAGCCCTAAATAATTACACAGCTCTATGATTCACTCAGTGAAAGTAGAACTATTTATAAACTTCCACTCTAAAGTACCACCTTATTTTCCCTGTTTCCCTGTTCATTGGGGGTGGGGTGGAATGTCTTTGATAATCCCCTGTATTAATCAGGTAAATATTGTCAGAAAGTTTCTGGTGGGAAAATAGTTAACTCATATAGAATTGCAAATGAAATTCAGGAATTTGATCTTCCCAAACCAGTTACTTGAAGATGAGGCCTGTGGATTCATACCTTTAATACATAGGTAACTCAGTGTAGCTTTGCTTTGGGGAGGAAGAAGTCCAAGTATAGCGAAAGGAAAACCATAGTCAGAGCTCTTACTAGGTTGTTCTCCTATCAGTGCTCTCTTGTTTGAAAACATCTGGAGATGATATTTTTATGTGAGTATATCTGAATCTTTTGAGACCCGTTCAACAAAGTATCAAAGACACTAGAAAGAAAAGCGCTCTATGGTACCAACGTAGGGTGTAGCCTGTTGGAAGGCAAGTGACTCAGGTAAATGCTAACTGTTTGCGATGTGTGTTTGTTGGAAATGTTATAATTGTTGACACCTCAGTAGCTTATTTCCTATGTATTGTCTGAATTAGAGACTTCTAATGGTACATTCAGCTTCATGTTGGTACTGTGCCTAGACCAGTAAGATTGTGTGGTGCCAGTGGGTTTGTGCTTATAATTATGTAGATGTTCTGAAATCCAGCTCTAGGAAAGATGCACATTAGTATAAATTGCCACTTAGTAATGTGTACACAGGATTGATACTTACATGGAAGCATGATTCAGAAAGTAGATGACTTGTTCACCAATACTTATGTACTGTTATATAGAAGACCATGCTCTAACCAGAGAAAGGGACACAAAAATGATGGGGGCCATGGTGGCTTGCTCCAGCAAGGAAGTGTTACAGCAGAAGATAATCTAATAAGTCCATGGTGATGTGGAAGGTCAGTCACCCCACCTGAAGGAACTGCAGTCACATCCTGAAGACCTTCTCTAAATTGCGAATAGAAAACCAGTTTGAGCTGCACTTTTTGACACATTTTCCAAGCAACAGGAAAGATCCAAGGCCTGTTTTCTCCACCATGACAAAGTGATTGTCTCTTTTGTCTAAGATACAGCTAG